TAGTAGTAGTAGTAGTAGTAGTAGTAGTAGTAGTAGTAGTAGTAGTAGTAGTAATAGTAGTATTAGTAATAGTGGTAGTAGTAGTAGTAGTAGTAGTAGTAGTAGTAGTAGTAGTAGTAGTAGTAGTAGTAGTAGTAGTAGTAGTAGTAGTAGTAGTAGTAGTATCATTATTATGTTTTACAGGGCCATCGATATGGTTTAAATAATTTAGGGGGCAGGCTACTTTGAGACAATCTTTCACCGCAAATTAAGTTTGTGTGCGACAATTCCCAGCAGACGGATGGTGGCACTCGATCGAATAGAATAATTTCTAGTGGTTGCATCTACTCAGGTGCGTGCTGTGCGTGTAACATCAAAGAACCGAACTATTAAAATCCTGCAGGCGCTTGTCGTTAGACTGGTCTACCGTGAGCGAGGTAATTAACCAGAAAGGAGGACCTGGTGTTATATTTTTGTTCACAAAAAAACCAACGAATCTGTATGTGCATCAGGACAATAAATGATCATAGACTCCTGGTTATAAACTAATAGATTCTCAGGCACACCGTCAAATCTTCAACACTTAACACCTCTACGAAGATGGCCTGAAAACATTGCTTTTATCTTGTAACAGCCCACACCCCCACCCCGCCCTTTCCCATTCTCCCCGAGTCATTTTGTTCTCTAAACCCTACTTCCGTCAGCACCCCTTTTCTGTCGCTTGCTAAGCATTGCATATTATAGTGATTTATCTCTTTTCTCCAAGGACACAACCATGTTTGATATGATAAGGAAGTTCGATATTGGACAAAATAAGGTTTGGCCATTTTGCTTGCCCGCGAACTCTCTTTCATGGCTACGCGTTTCTACAAGAGTTTGTTCTCATATTTGTATGTTTACGTTTTGTTTTTATGCCCCTGACATAAACTGAACAATAAATTGTTCTACGAGTATTATCGGCACCTTAAAGTACAACGCAATTCATTTGCAGTGTTGTTGTTCTTGGGGTTTTTTCATTGTTACAAAGTTATCTTAAGCAAATGTCCCGTAAACGAAATTCCGGTGCCAAAAAGCAATACATGCCTCAACTGCAAAGGGATGTAAATTGAACTAGAAACTTAAATCTCCCCATAACGATTCGTTTCGTGGACCGTGGGGTTTTATGCGTGACGTTGTAAAGTGGTGCATCCAACGTTTGGCTGAAAAACATGACCTCTTCCGTGTTTTACTATTTCATGTGATTGAGTGAAAAAGATAGGGGTTTTCTAGAGCAGTAAATTGGCAGCCATTTGGCAGAAATTTAACTCTTTATGTCTGTCGTGGTTGGAGAGGACCCGGGGATGTCGATATTTACTTAAATTCAAATCGCATGTCGTGTTATTGGTTTATTTCTTTTGTTTCAATGGTCAATGTAACCAACTAACTCCTATGACATAACCGATAAGCTTTTTATCTGTTGATTCTGGTGAGGCGAGACCTGTTTTATCAAATGTATTCGCATTCTTTTTCTGGTTGCTGAATCCTTGTCTACCTAGAGAGACAAGATCGAAGCAGCCTGGTTCCTAAACACAAGGAGTGTTCGAACATTAAGGAGGGGAACTTGCAGCCGAGATATGAGTATGTCTATATGCGTGTGTGTGAAGGAAGAATGGACGTAATTCAAACATACGAAGACATACTAAAAGCACTCACACATACATGCACACATACACACACACACACACACACACACACACACACACACACACACACACACACATACACACTCACACACATACACAATATACACACTTACGCGCACACACAATGAGAAAGAGAAAGAAAGAGAAAGAAAGCAAGAAATATATTTTTAAAACCTCAAAGAGATTGACAGTCAAACAGATTACAGAGATTTTAAACACATAGCTTAAGACAGCACAACAATCAGATTTATTCGCACATATTGAGAGGTAGATAGATAAATCAACAAGATTTTAGCGAGGGGAAGAAAGATGCATCGATAGGCCCTTAGGTGGATAAGATAAACATTCTCCTTAAAAGAATGACATTTTTTTCGATTCCCCAATATCTGCGAGATGGGACAAAGTTTGTCAGCACAGTAGGTAGTTTCGTGGTATAATGAAATTTGATCAGCAAATTATTATAACTATTCGGAACAATTTACAACCCCGAAAACATTTTAAAAGGGAGGCTTTTCTATGTTGCGTATCGAGTTCAGAAATAATGAATGAAAAAATATCGGGTATCCAATCATGTTGATTGCAATGAAATTAATGCTCGAGGCTTTGAGTTAATGCCAACGTTTGGTGGCAGCAGGGGAAGTAACAAGGATAATAATTCTTTCGTTATGTAAGCAGAGTTCGTTCCCTTAATTGAACAATTCGCGATTTATTGTTCAGCCAAACCTGCCCTAATAGTCGAAAAAGGTTTAACTCTGTTTTTAAACAGATTCCCTGGTAGTTTCTAGCGAAGTTTAGTTCATAGTTTACTGTTCCCAGAACGCAAGCTTTCGTTTTGTCAATCCTATTCAAGTGGAGTAAACTCCGTTCTTATTCTCTTGCCCAGAGTTTAAGTCTAGCAAACGTTCACCTTACTGATTACACTGTTATTCATATCTCCCTCTTTGTAAGGATTGTATGTTATCAATTATATCTTCATATCATCATAGGTTTGTCCATTGTGTACTGGATGACGCTAAGCTCACAAGATCGTGACATCATACGCATGAGTCTGCTCACCTGTGTGGTCTACTTCATCATCCAGCTTGTTGGTAAGAAAGTTTTACTTTGTCTATTCAGGTGCACAATAAGAGATATTTCCAGATAGTTGTGTTGATCGTCCCAAATCGCTCGGCAGAACTAAAGAATAGCTCCCCAATCTAACCCCATCCATCCCCAGTCTTTCTATCTCAAACGGATTTACTGAATGTGATCTAAGAATCAACCCGAACTTTACCGACTGTAATAATGTGATGATGCAAAAAGTTAAATATGACAGATAAAATCATCACTATGTTGTGATATTTAGTAGGAAAACAAATCTACTGTGGGACTATCCTTTAGTTTTGTTACGATCGGCACTGCTAAATGTATAGTTATGATAGTGTAGAAGTGACGTGGTCAGTTTGGTTTTTTTATGCCATGTTTAGATTCTCGTATTTTAGATTGTTTTAGAACGACTGTGTTTATAGAACGCACACATGTTGCGCCAGATGGCTCTGTGGAAAAAAAGTAGAGCCTAATGTTGCTGCACATTATATTAGGAATAACATTGTAGTGACTTTTCTCAAGCAATAAGCTGTACTTCCAGCTTTCTCTTTTGTTAAAGATTGAAGGGAGAAAGTGGGTGACGGTTTGGATTGACTTTGTACCAAACTGGTTCAAGATTGTTGGCTCTTTTTAATTATGTTTTCTGACATCTAATGGAGAAAGATAACCAAAATGCAACCGATTCTTCGACGTTGTCATCATATCGTTGTATTACTTAAGAACAATGTTAGGTTCCTAAGACGAGGATATTATGTTCTATTGAAGGCTCTTTTTTCAGTTGTGTACAGTGTCTTGTATTCTCTCCAATTGTTTGCTGTGTGCGGCACAGTCTGTTGTTGAGGCAGAACGCGTCACAAGTTCGTCTGTCGTCCTTTGTGAAACTGTTGTAGCGTACTGGTTGTTGTTCGTCTATTGAAGTGATCATTCTGAAAATCGTTTGTAACATTAAAGCGTAATGTCTATTTACCTGTTTCCCCTATTCTTCGTGTATTTCACGTGTTGGCATTGTACATGTGGTAAATGTTTGGCGTTACTTTAGAAACAAAAAAGTTCCTTAAAGTGACATGGAGGAGAAAAAGTAATGGCATTGTGTATTGTTTGTTACTTACTGTGTTATTTGTCTTTTCCCGTCAAAACGCAAAGGTTGATGCCTGCGTAAACGGAAGACCCAGTTAAATAACTGCACTTCCATTTTTGGTGGACATTACTACACGCATGAGTGACGGTTTACTCGATTAAAGCTATCGCTATCTTTGTATATGGTAAAAGTCCTTATATTATTAAGTTGCATCCAATCAGGTGGACAGAAAAATCTCTTTCCAATTGTATTTCCTTAATTAAGGCAACACTTTATTGTGTAATCAGTATTGCAAGGAGGGGGGGGGGGAGTTCGGTAACAAGAAGTTTGACGCCCGTTGTTTTGTTTTGTTCACTTGGCCATGTATAGACGGCAGTAACCTACGTTCAAATACATAATATGAAGGGCGCAAGAGAAAACCCAGATATGTCATTTTCGGGGCATTTTTGTGAAAACCACGAATGAAATGCTTAACAGCCCACGTATTCCCATAGTATAGCTTATTTTCCAGGTCTAGTATGGGGCGACCCATCAGGTTTTAGCCCTGGACACATAGATGGGCCAGGGGAAGTGCGTAAACACTTTCCAACCCACGTCCAAATCAAATTAGCCCAAAAACTGACATCTCTTGTTTTTCCCCTGTGCCTTTCAGAAAAACTCCCACACATGATTCAATCTACACTATATAAATGAGCGCATATGGGAGCTTCTTTAGCTTTTTTAAAGAGGGAACTGCAAAGATAGTAACCAGGAATTTCTGAAGGCTATAGATAGCACAGTCTGGAAATATTCACTAGGGGACTTCCGTATTAATGTTCCCTTACCCAAAGGCATCCGGATGTGACGCAAGCCATACATTACCTACAATGTACACAAAATTCGTCTGCTGTCGCCTTTTTAGAACATTGACGTTGATAAGAGGAGGTTTTGGCAGACGGTTATTTGGGTTTCATGTGTGCGAGAAAAAAAGGCAAGCAGACGCTTCTTTGAATTATCTGTTGGCATCACCGCGCTTTACTGAGAGACTTTAAAAAAGAAGTATATTGTCATGCTTTTTAACGAATTTCAAACTGATGAAATAAAAGAAAATGACAAAAATGACAAACGAAAAAGTTTCTTTACTATTTTAAAAACATTTGCACTAAACAAGAAGACTTGACAGGCCGTTAACCTCTTCACTGCCAGGCCCGAGATTGACGCGGGCTCTCTGGTTGCACTAAAACTAGAAGCGAATTCCTGTGTTATTTATTTCATTACCAGTCGTAAAAGCACATTATTCTATACGGCTTGATATCGTTTGCGTCTGGGGGGCGTGGGGGAGGGGCGGGGAGGGGGATATACCAATTACCCGAACAAATGAACCCTTTACATCCTGCCCCAATCCCTCGTCCTATTCAGCTCCCATTCCTCCTCCCCACCCCACCCCCTTCACTTCCCATCCCATTCTGTTCCCGCTATCCAAACCTCCCTATATCTTAATATACCCTAACTCCCACCCCATTTATCCCCTACCCAACTCCCACCCCATTCATCACCCCGCCCCCATTCCCTCAGCCTTCCCACTCCCCGTATCCCCGTATCCCCCATACCTCTAGTCCTCCACTAACTCCCCCCTTTGCCCACAGTTAGTAGTACCGATGCCTAAGATAGAACCTCCTTGACGGTGGTGCCACCACTGATGTGCCCTCAGAAGGCGCTATAAAGTAGTAGTCGCAGGAACTCGAAGTTCGTTTTATGAAATGTAACATTTAAATTGGATAAATGTGTTAATTTTATGGGTTATGTTTATTTGCATACGCAATAACGAACCCCAGAAGCTTCATTCCAATAGACTATAATTCTCAGTATAATTAAAGGCACTTGTTTATGGAAGATATTCTACGCAATATGTATGCAGCTGGTCTTCCTTTTACTTACTTATCTTATTTCTGCATATCTAGACGTCTTTTTTTTTATTCTTAAAGGTAGGTAATACGGTTCTTTTCAACAAACCCACCAAGTTCGAGTGGCTGAGAGAAAAATAAAGTCTCCGCGAGATCAGAACACTGT